GCTACAAACAAAAAAGCGAGAGCACTCTGAGGAGTTTCGGTGGCGAGATGAATGGGAAGCTAATTTTGTGGACGCAGTGACAATGTGCAAAACCATTTGCTGGAAATATGGTCTATTCACTGGTGCTGTTATCATTCTACAAAATGACGTTTACTGTGAACAGAAGGAGCAAACAAACACTCATTTAGTCCATATGTTCGACATTCTGTTTACTGTCAGAGAAGCAGCTTCAGGAGAACACTGCTAACACTGCTAATATTGTTTGATGAGATGTAAACTCCCAGCAACTATATAGTGTCACTCACACTCCTGCACATATATACATATGTGTGTGTGTGTACATATATTAACATATATAAATTCTATTCATGGGATGAGTGGAGCGACCCTGCTTCCCTCCCCCTAACATCGTAACATCCTGAAGATCTACTGCTGCAAAGTCACCTCCCGTGATGCAGTGGCTGGTTTGTGAAGGGCGATTCATTTTTCGCTTGAAGAGGTGCAGGTAACCGCTCAGAGGTGCGCCAGCAAAGAAGGTTTTCACGAGGGCGGAACGGGCGATGGGAGAAGCTGTCGGACCTCTGCCTCTGCCTTGTGTGTGACTAATAGAGTCTATTGTTCTGCTTTTGATACCCGCTCATGCTGCCTCTGACTATGCGATTATCCTGCTCTTAAGCAGTAAATTGGGCACAACAAACAGATGAGGGTGGGAAATAAGTCAGATCTAAATTTCCTTTTGCTCATGTGCCATAAAAATCCATGTGAAGGCGTGGAGTCAGAGGGCCTGATAAAACATTAGGGAGGATTGAAAAAATAACACGAAAAGCCAATGTAAGCTCCACTGAATGCCTCCTTACCGAGAGTAAAATACACTAAACAGGTCACTGATGCAGTCCTAAATGTGCTACCAAAGAGGAAGCACAGAGCAACTCCTCATGTAGTCTCCTTCTTTCTGATGAAAGCCAGTCCCTGATCTGCCCCAGGTGTATTGACTAACAGTAATGGCTCCTTGTGGCTTTACACTAGGCCACAGTCATAAACACTGGCTGATTATTGTGTGGTAAGAATCTGCGGAGGCAGCAGGGCTAATACAGCATGACAGCACCTGTCAATACATGGCCAAACAAAGGGGGCGTACTTTGAAAAAAACCTTTTTACACTTCCGAGATTTAGCCTCGATCAGTCTCTTTGTGTGTTTCAGAAAGAAAAGCAAAGACATCTATTGATCAAGGAGCAAGGTAGAATCTGCTCAGAGAAATTACCAGTCATGGAGTGATGGAAAGAGACTAAGTTAGAAAACACTAGTCATTTAAGAGACAATTTTGCCAAATCACCTTATTCATTTATTTTTAAATCTTTTATAGAGTTGGCATATGTTTCTGCACAAATAACCATTAGCATGAAAGCATCACTGTGTGAGAGGGCAAACAGTATCGTTGGGTATTGAACTTAATACTTTCAAGAACCGATCTAATTACATCATACTACTAAATACTAATTAACATTAATCAATGTTTGCCTGAAAGCGAATCTTGGTGAGATAAAGAGAGAGAGGTCTACATTTTAAATTTTCTGGTGGTGGTAATGCACATGGACAATGGATAGTTGAATTAGACTAATGTGACAACTCAGTGTATTAGAGCAATGCTGAGCTGAAAGCTGTTGCAAGTTTGGTTACACTTTTCAAAAGTCAACACAGACAACATATGCTGCCATATTTATGAAAAGCTGGACAACTGGCCCAACATGTCTACCCTGAGGAAACAGCCACAGGCTTACATTAGCACAAAGTTAAACCCTCAATGAATGATGAAACATTTAGTGAAGCATTGAAAACATCATCACCATCTTCAGGTTATTCATTAACTAGTCATCTTAAGTTACTGAAGGAGACAAATGGGCTCTCTTACTGCTGTGGGTGAAGCTTGCTTTATATCTTTAACAAGCCAACACTCATTTTCACTAATTCCTTATAATGATTATCATTATTAGTGAAATGCTGCTAGTGAAGTCATAAATGACCAACTAGCATGTGTTCAAAAACACCTTCAACCTCTCCCTACAACAGGCTGGAGTCCCCATTTGGATTATTATTATTAAAAGTGATTAACAGAACATTACAATATTTGGCTACATGCCGAATAATGTGCCACTTGTTGATATTTAAGGGAGATGATACCTCACTATTCAGAAGCTGAATGACTTTGTGATAATGAGGCCTCTAATAATGAAAGCAACATATTTAAAACAGTCTGGAGAACAGAGTTCAAAGAAATCAATGCTAAGGGAGAATACTATACAAGAAAGTGCAAAAAAAACCCTTTTGAAACAAGCCTGAAATGATATACTATGAGATGTTATTGAATATGAATATAAAGTTGTATATTTTATTTCATCACCTACAGCTTGACTGTCGGATGTCTGACCTGCAGGTGGAAACATCAACACCTCAAGTTGAAGTCATTGACAGCTGGGTTGTAACCAAAGAGAAGAAGAAATAAAACCAAAGAACAGAAGTACTAAAAATAGCTTGTACTTATCATAGCTGTCTATGTGCGACATTATTTCTGGGTGCGCTACATAAAACTGGTCTAAGAGGCGGGATATGTAGTGCCTGTATTAAGGATAACGTTCAAAGGTGTGAAATTAGATTCAGCTCTGACGGAGCAGGGAGATAGAGAGAGAAAAGGAAGAAGCCAGGGTTGGTCTACACATATTTTATACTACACACTATAGGAGGCTTAACCACTTAACAACTAATTCAGATGCTGAAAGGTAATCCAATGCAGGATCTTGAATAATAACGATCTATAGTTCGCAATGTAGGGCTTGTTTTCTTAAAATGTTTAGCTTCATAATTTACGATGAATGGTAATAATCTAAGCAGCAGACATCCATTCTGCTGAAACAGCTGTGAACTTTTTAAAACAAAGGCTAATGAATGCATTCATAAATTTATAGTATCGACAGATGAAGTATTTAAAAGTTATGTACTAGCATGAGCCGTCATTAGCAGTGAAAAGGCTTGCATCATTATCCGCCCATAAAATTGGGTGATATTCATTAAAAATGACTCAAAGATTATGAGACAGATTGTTCATGAGGTCTGCCTTGTTTTTGTAGTGATTCTTGTTCCAGCAGAATTTACATACAATATTTTCTTTCTCACTTTAATCCCATTCATTAAGCTATCATTAAATGCCAACATCATATCATAACAAAGCCAGCTTAGCTGTCATTCTAACAGAACAATTATTCATGTGCCTATATTATTTAATTGCAGGCATTATCCAGACGCTGGATTGGATTATTGTCTTCAGGTACAGAAATCTCCCCCTCACTCTCACTCTCCCTCCCCCTCTCTGTCTTTCTCACTCACTCTGTTCCATTCAACTGTAATGACCGTGAGGGAAATTGGCACACGTTAATGTGCATTCAAACCATATCGAATCAGTTTCTCAGCACCCTAAGGGCTTAATAGGAAACAATGACTGAATTATGACTAGAATGCTATAGCCATTTGACTTTCAATTCTGGCTGAAGACACAATGACACACTGTTGATATAGTGATTTGCTCCATTTACTTCTATGGTTTCAGCATTTTATTAAAAAACAATGATTTGGAAATGGTCCTAGAACAAAAACTCATTTCTTATGTTATTTTCTTGTTTAACCTTGGTATGAATGTGTGTTGTTTTAAGACAGATACAGATGATTTGTGTTCAGTATCAGTTAAGATCTGTCTCTCTCTCTGTCTATCCCTCCTTTTCTTTCAAACCTCAGAGGATCCATCTCAGCATGGCCTGCACCATGATACATTAAATCCATTACTTACAAGCACACCTGTGATGAAGGACAAGTGTGTTGTGCGGGCTAATACAATGCTCAGGCAAGCACACACTCATACAGGACAGCCACGGGCCTTGGCCTATATATCATACTGCAGGATTAACACAATTTAGTACTTGAGTACAAAGCTACATGGCATTTCCAAATCCTGGGATCTATTCAAAATGCAGGGCATGAATGTGTAGGTTTACTGCGCATTGGTTTTCTACTGCTGGCTAGTTAATCTTCTTTCTACCTGTCATATGGTATTTATCCCTTTTTAATAAAACAACATGTTAACAAGGTTTCACTCACTGACAGTAAATGCAAGACGTTTTGGTACACACTCCAAGTAATATCGACATAACCAAGCCTTGAAAGCATCCGATATTTGCAGTGAAACTGACCTCACAATTGCTGAGAGCAGAAGGCACTATTTAAAAGTGAAACAACCTGCTACAGGAAGAACAAATAAAGAAGAGAGTAAGTCGACCTTTTGAAACATCAAAACCGCTGCCTCCGGCAGCTCATGTTGTTGCCATTAACAGTTATCGAATCAAACAGCTCAGTTGTTGTGGAATTTCAGGAGAAGGAAGGAGAAATCAATACAAGTTTTAGTTGTTTTAAGAAAAGGAATTTTCTCAGTACATTGCGTATAGGTAGGTCCGACCTCTAATTGCATCCTGGTTACACACAGTTTTAGGCAATGTGTCCAGTTTCAGGATGTTTGTGGCTGCAGAGTTCACAGAGTCAGTTTTACAATCGAGCATAAATTTTAGTGGGGATGAGAACAATGCTCCCGGACTAATGTAAGTATTATCTCAGAGGCAGCAAAAACCTTCTGACACTAACCTTTATTAAGAGCATGCTCAACAAAAGAAAGCCAGTTCAGCACTTCTTTTCTCTACCAAACCCACTACCCTTTTGCTGAGCTCGCCCTTTAAGCAGCAATTTACTTCCTGTCGCATTTTCGACTTTTATTCCCCGCTCAAGGTCATTTTTTTGTGCTAGGAAATCTTTCAGATCAGACAGAAAAAATCACGCTTCATGGAAATATGTAAAAAGGGGCAAATAGGTTTTCTTCTAACTCACTGTCTGGTATTCAATTTTATGAAAAATTAAGCATTTCCAAGGTTCTTTGGAGAAAAAAGTAGACAGAGGTACAACTTACTGTGTTGGCAGTGAACTCCACTGAACCCTGGTGGACACTTGCAGACGTATCCTATGAAGGTGTCGCCCCTGTAGGTCTCACTGATCTCACATGTTCCTCTGTTGTGGCAAGGGTTTGGATGGCAAGGGCCTGCATGGGAAAAGGAGGAACAATGTGTTTAGAAATCAGTTTGATCCTGTTAAACAGTGTGTAAAGACTGTGAGACACTGATTATTGGTAGCATCTCTTTTACTTTTTAATTTTCTGTGTATACAAGCACACAGTGCTCTAGGTAATAGATTCAGCCTGGTGTAACACACTGATTTTCAATGTGCGCATGATTTAAATGAATATCACCATGCCGACACAGACAAACACAGTCTTACGAAACCTTACCAAGACTGCGAATGTAAACAAATCAGATGTGTGTATTGGCTGTGCAGTTGAACACATTTACAGTGAAAAAGTTTGAACAAATTAATTACATTGAGTTTGACCATATAAGACATTGAATAAATAAAACAGTTTTATGGGAGGAACTGAGGATGACAGGAGAGCGGGGGAGAAGCTGGTTTGCTGGTCGTTGTGGTCTGGAGGGCGGCCCAAGGCACCGTCTGAAAATCACTGAATATGTCCCCTCCAGGAAGGTAACATTTCATTCTTGCATTGCAAAGTGGGGAGCTCCAAGGTAGAGCACTATCACCTATGAGTGCTGAAATGAATTCATGCCATCTTGTGTGCACAAAACTGAGAGTGCATAAGTTGAGTGCAGAATACTAAGTAGATCCACAATGAGTAAAACTGCAATATTAGAGACATCAGTAAGTAATCATAAATAAGCAATGCTTATAACTGTAGGGAAATAAAAAAAATATATATATTAATGTAATAAAGACTAATATATACAGTGTAAAAACAGAATATATGTGTGATAACACATACAATGGAATTGACTGACATAAGCCATTGAATTTCACAGGCAGAATGAATATTGAACAGTTAAACCAGAGTTAAAGTTCAGTCTATAATGGCTGCATGTAATTCTATTGGGAGAAGAGCTGGTTGTACAGTCTCACTGCTGCAGGAAGGAAGGACCTGCTATCCTCTCCTTCAGACAGTTAGGGTGAATAAGTCAGATGCTGACGGAGTTGCAGAGTGCTGTGATGGTGTCCTGCAGGGTGAGGGACTGGTTGTCCATCAGAGAAGACAGCTTTGCCATCATCCTCCTCTGTCTCACCACCTCCACTGAGTCAAGTGGGTATCCCAGGACTGAGCTAACCCTCTTAATCAGTCTATTCAGTCTCTTCCTGTCAGCCTTTGAAATGCTGCTACTGAAGTCATAAATGACCAACTAGCATGTGTTCAAAAACACCTTCAACCTCTCCCTACAGCAGGCTGGAGTCCCCATTTGGATTAAATCCATCCAACCATTGTCTCTGTACCAAAACTGCAGCAATTAAAAGCTTAATGACTATCGATCCATTGCCCTAACACCAGTTGTTATGAAGTGCTTTCAGAGGCTAGTACTCTCTCACAGTCAGGCCATCACCCCAACTGATCTGGACAGCCACCAGTTTAACTATTGATGAAACAGAGCTGCTCAGGATACAGTCAGAATCACAACTCATATAGTCCTTTTCCTTCGGCAGGATCCAAACACATATGTCTGGGTACTATTTGTTGAGTTTAGCTCAATTTTTCAGTTCCATAATCTGCTTTAAAACAGCAGACATACTCAAAATCCTGGGTTTAACAGTTTCACTCTCTTTATCGGTTATGGACATCCTCACAGACCACGTAATGCGAGAATGGACAAACGCACATTCTTAACCTTCATCCTGAATGGAGATACTGTACATCTCAGGGCTATGTGCAGCTCTGTCCTCTTCACTCTCTTCACTCATGACAGCACCCTCAACCGCTCCTTTCCTTCCTGATGACACCACTATAGCAGGACTTTTATCCAACATGCAGCACCCTCAAGAGAGAAGGTACAACATCCAGTTGAGTGGTATCTGGACAATAATTTGGTCTTTAACACTGCAAAATCCAAATGTACCGGACTAGTGATTAAATGTGATTAAATGCAGAGGTCTTAGCAAATATAACCCTTGAGTGTTCAGCAAAGCCATAGTAAGAACATATATTTATATTTCAAAATACATAAAGAGAAATTTGATAAGAAAAATAATAAAGCATGCACTGGATCTCCAATGAGGACTGTCCTGACCTCTCCAGTACTACTCAACACTGTGTCCCACACATTTCAGCGGACAGACATGCATAGGTAGTACATGATTCAGGACACCAGATGAGCATCAACCTGCATGACGGTCAACTTCTTCCCCATTAGGACAGGTTAAATGGTTTTAGAGGTGCTGGAGAAATCACAAGACATAATCTGGGCACACCACTTGGCTTGTGAAGGTGGGTAATGATGCATGGTGGAGTGGTTATCATGGCATTAATAAACTGAAGGCCTAACCAATGGCCAAAGGAAATCCAGGACCAGTCTTTAAAAAGTGTCTACCAGGTAGAATCTACTTAGCACTCACTTAACCTGGTTAGCAGATATGGTCAGTGGGTAGGAGGTATCGTGGTTGCTGGTTGGTTTATAATTAAAGTGGTCAGTGTGAGGCTGCATGCCAGATCTATTGGAGAGACAGTCCATCTGATTGGCTCTCTCAATGCTTCGGTCTATGGTCTGACTGCTTGTAAAAGATGAGGTTTCTTATACCTCCGGACCACTATGGCATCATTTTGCTGCTCTCTTTTCTTTTGCAACCTCCCTCCCGCTGATATTCAACAACAACTGTTTCTGGATCCTCCTTATTGTGTTCTTGTACCCTGACCTAAAGGCCCCCTTCTTGTTCAGGAGTGGTTTGATGCCCTTGCTAGCCCAGGGTTGGTTGTAGGGAAAACAGTGGGGAGTTGTTTTGAATTTGGTGAAACAGTTTGTAAGTCCATCTCTGTCCTCACCATTTGGCATGAGAAAACCATCAGAGTTAGTGCACTGAAAGCTGTGTTGCAGAGTACCTGTCTTTAGAAAACCAGCAATGCAAACGGGGCATTTCAGGAGCAGTGTTTTCTGTGACAGAAAAGGACTCCCCTTTCTGCTGACTTGCCTTTACGTAAGCAAAAGTGACACACTAAAGGAAAAAGAAAACCCCAAAACAGCACAACTTGGGTACTTAAACATTGGCAGAGAGTAGCTCCAGGGCCCTGTCTCCTCCAGTAGTACAGTCCACAGTGAAAGTGGGAACATTTAGTGTCATGTGATTTATTCTTTGACAGCCCTAAGCTATCACACAATATT